AAATCGACCATAGACAGGACCCGAGATTTATTGGAGATGATCGGTGGGTTAATGTTTCATTCGATACTTTCTTGGGTGATTGCTTGACGGAACGGAACGATTGAATTGAGTTCAGCGATCAACTGATCTCTAGTATTGTTTGTTCAGCAGAAAGCTTGGCGAGTTGGCGTTTGTTCTGAGGGATCAACTTGCTGCTCATATTCGTACGAAGCAACCACTGCGACCGGTTTTTCTTCATTTATTCGCTTTTATTTCGTTTTTTATTTCCAGTAAATTTCTCACTTGTTTTTGATTAGTCGTACATTGGTTCGTTTGGAATTAATGTGATGATTTTAGAGAGATTGCTTGAAGCTGTAGATGATAAGTATGTTTTATAGAATACAGCTGCTCACTAATGTAATTATTAATTTTTTTTTGTTATATTTTGGGGAATCAATATCCAATGAAGTGCTGATTTTGCACGAATTTGATGATATGGTTTTGATATGCATTCTTTAGTCGATTGTAATTTTCAGTTCGTTCTTTCAGTTATTCAAATTCTCAAACGAAGACGAATTGAACGCTGAAGTGTTTGATGAAACGGTTGATGTGAAACAAGATGTGATCTATTCACCGAAAGTATTCAATATGTGGCCCGATGAGAAACCGCTTTGGCAATGTGCTGGCTTCGAACCTGATTCGGGTCTGTTCAGCTGTCATTTTGAACCATTCCATTCGTTGTCTTTGAGAGGAGTTTCAGACCGAGTGCGGGATTCTGTATGAAAAACGAGAATTCGAATGATTGAATGAACGATTCAGTGTAAAAATTCGTATAGTATTAATATTGAAGGCGATGAATATAAGTCGGGTTTGTTGGCCATAAAAGATGTGAGTTCGTTGAATGATTTGCTGGCGTATTGGAAGGTTGAACCGGGAGAAGAGCGATCGATCGTTCAGCGAGAATCGCTGACTGCCACAGCGATTGTGTCACTCTTCTCGTGGCTCAATGCTCAAGCACATTCTTTGGGTTTGTTGCAGTTGTAGTTGTTATTTGGATGTTTTGTTTGTTTTTTTTTTCGTTTCTCGATTCAGAGTTGTTCTTTTTACCACATTCAATTCGCTGTTCACTCGAATGGCAGAAGAGATTATTTGAGATTCTTACATGAGGATAGGGAAAAATTGTAGGAAAATTGTATAGTACCAAAACTGTAGAACGTGATATTCGATTGGATTACGAGTAGGATGAATAAATCAAGCGGCAAAGAAAATGTTGCTATTTGTCAAGAAATTAATTTCATTGCAGGTTTCACTCAATATAACGACATTGAATGGCCATTGGTATCGCAGATGATCCTGTCGGATGGACGTGATTTCTTTTTTGCTATTGCCCAACTGAACACGATCGCAATCAATATCGATGTTAAAGTGAGTGAAACTCTTCGTTATTTTGTCTCGTTCGTTTAACATTCATTCTTCGAAACAGTATCGAGCGTGCTTCGACGTGTCGTCAGAACGGTATTCGTGTGTGTCAAACTAAGTTGTTTTGTTGTTATCGTTTAGAAGAATATTATTGAAAACACTTTCGTGAAACGACTCAATTGAGAACGTTTCAGAGGTGTTTTGTTTGATTCCGAACGGTTGAAGTTATTGCAAATTTCAAAGTTCGTCATTTTAAAGTTTCAATTTCAAGGGTTTCGTCAACAATCGCAGTAATGTGTGTTACGTGGAAGGACCGTTGCGTTTATACGACCGTTTCGATAGTCGTCGAGGAAATTTCTATTACTTGTTGGCCGACGGAACTGAAGTTGAGGGCTTAAATCCACAAGTGATGACTCGTATCTTGCAAATGTTCATCAAAGAATGATTGGATTGGTTGTTGATTTATTGATCGGTTGAGTGATCGATTTCAAATTGATTCAGAGATGATCATCACATCAGCTCAGCGCTTGCAGAATCTAGTTCATTGGCTCGTTCACACCCAATTCATCCATTTATAATATACGAATAGAACCGTTGATATATTTATTGTTATTAATGCTCAATTGCTAATGTTCTTATACCGCGCAAAACTTAGTTCATTTTTATGGATAAATTATATTTGTCCAACAAATATCCCAGGTTTTTTACATGTTGATGAGTAGCGTGTGTCTTCATATTTTCTGTTTTGGTGCATGCTTATATGAATGAATATTTCAAGCAAAATCATACCAAACACACATCTTCATTCCAAAAAAATTAAAACAAAACCAATCAGTTCACCTTATGAAAAGTGTAAAATCCACAGTAACCGATCAAATACATAATGAAGCGTTGCATTAAACGACACTCAAATTCCACCATAACAAACACGATCGACTTGTATATAAGAAAGCCACTCTCCCTATCATTTGGACGATTTGTTATCATCATGCTTCTTTGATTGCTTTTGAGCCTGAAAGTATGACCGAAATACTGTCAGTTTCAAGGGTATCCAGACCATATTTTCGCTTATAATTCATGCTTACAATTAGTTATACTAACGACGAACTTCAAACAAATGAAGCTCGCAAAAACCGAACGTACTCAATCGAAACCTGTAAAAAGTTTCCCTGAAAAGCCCGTAATCGAACTCACCCGTTCAGTCGTCGCTGCCGCCGCACTATTCACGGCATCTTGAATCTCCTGCGAGTTCGGATCTACACCAGGCAGATCCGCTACCAACTGTCTCAGCAGTTCAGGATCACTCATCAACTGGCCAAGCTGATCATCTGTCGATGCCGTACCACCTTTCACTTCAGCAGCCTGAGCTTCGGCTTTATCTTTATCGTTCGATTGTTGAGCAGCAACCGCACTCTCACCTCCACCAGCGCCTTCGTTGTCAATCTCCATTACTTGTTCATTCGAGGCATTACTTGACTGCGCTACGCAAGACGCACTAGCCGTTTCCGGTGCTCCATTTGACGTTTCTACTTGTGGTTTGGACTCTTGTTTGGTTGTTTGTTGTTGATCAGTTGATAGTGTAGTGTCCATCCCTGCTGCACCAGCACTAGCACCACTGCCTTCTTGCATCGACATACGCAGTGCCCATTCCAACTGCTGCTCTTCGGTCATTGCACCCGGATCCATTGTCATTATGTCCGCTTCAAAATCATTCCATTAACTACTCTATTTTTACGAACAACTTCATTGTTATCACACTCTCTGGGCATTGCTATTATCATATATTCTTGTAAGTGAGTAATGCCCTTTATCACAGTGACAATGACAACAATAGTAATAATAATATTTTAGATCAACAACGACAGTGAAGTAATAATAAATAATAATGCAAGCGTGTAAATAAGATACGAGCGCTTGTGTCCATCGGTTGTTGTGTGGTGTCAGTTGTTTCAGCTGCCCCACCACCTCCGCCAGTCACAGCTTCTTGTTGCTGTCTTTGACGTTGCTCTTCGAGCGACACACGAAGTGCCTTAACAAACAAACACAACGCCATCTATTCAACTAATCAATCAGTTCAAGAAACTATTCGCTTAACTCAAAAATGTTCGACTAATTTAAAAAGATTTAGTCGCCGCAATCGAATGAACTTCTTCGTACATCGAGAATGAGAAACAAATCAAGATCTGCTCAATGGAGAACCTACCAGCGCTAGATCGGGATCATCCTCAGGATCAATACCGAACTCGAATCCACCACCTCCAGTAGTAACCACTGGCGCTGCAGCTCCATCCTCACCTCGACAAACCGGTGACGAAAGCAGTGCTTCGGTTAAAGTGCAACCACTTGATACTACCACCAAATTTGATCCATTGCTACCCTCCCTTCAACATAAAAATCTCAACGGAAGACTGATGAATTGTTGCGTGAACGTTAACGAGTTCAATAGACAAATTCAACGCACGATGGAAGAAATATATTTACTTCGAAAATCACTGCGCAATGCCAATCAAAGTACGACAAACCTTCCGTTCAGCGTTTCCACAAATTGTCCCATAATTTCACTATTCTCCGAATCCGCCTCACCAAAACAAACCACATCAACTTGTACCTTCTCCTTCTTCAGTTTCTTCGCCAACTTCGTCAACTGCAATCGACGAAGAAATTTCAAGGAAATTACTCACCATTTACTGCTATCAACTATCAAATCATGAGTCAACCAACTAATCTCTTATATCCTTATCTCGAATGATTCTGATGAAATACGAAACATTAATAAACCAAAAAGTTTCAACTTACTTCATTTGCATTCAAATGTTCAATGGGACTACCAACGAATAATACGATTCGCATTTTATGATTACGATTTTGGCGATGCTTCAGTGCTAAATGCGCTATTTTGATACCGTTCACGAAGTCCGAATCACCCTGAAAATACTTACAACGAATACAACAGAAAACTGATTCCATCCATGGAATGATGAAACACATAACTCGAAGAATGCACCAAACATTCGAGAGAATGAACAAAAAAATTGCACACCTTTGGCTCAATTTGATGAAGTTTCATGAAAAGTTTCCCGTTTTCTTGCGTCATCGTTGAAAGCACTTCAACGGTGCTGCAAATGAAATGGATTCATTTACAGAATGACTTTATTAAGGTTTATATTCGCGACTCATTTTTAAAATGCTTGATACAGACTTATTGAATTTGACTTACACGCTTATGAGCATGCTTAACTTTACATCCAACATGAATGAAAATTAAGTTGACCAATTAGAACATGATAGGTTTTCGATGAGCTATTGCAAAATGCCGATGTTCGGCATTCAAATTTTCCGAAATCCTTCAAAGAAAGAATAGAAGTTGGAAAAATATTTGAAAATAAATATGGCAACAAACGAACTCAGCCATCGAGAGTATGCCAACAGCATTTTCGGGATTGGCACGCAATTTGCATTGCATGATCAGATTGACTGCTTCTTGTTGACACTGTAAACGGGTTGGTGAGAAATCACCATTACGCATCCACTCCGAATTATCCACACTGCAAACACTTTTTTCAACTGTAACGCTTAACAAAACACTGCAATGAATGTCACTTTCATAAATTGTCAAATGAAAAACGTGAAATGTTTTATCCGAACGCAATCAGATTATAACAAGGAAGTACTTGCCATATCATAGTGCTTTCTTGGACCATTATGACCGACGGAGAAGGGTTATGTGAGGATCACTGAAACTTACGAAATCATCAAACCCGCAGAAAATACGACAGAAAATGAACGAAAAATTATTTGCTGTTAACGAAACCGTGGCACTAGCCTCGAATTTCATGTCGCAGAAACAAATATAACGTGATAATTTGAAAATATTAGTGAGCGAGTGCTATACTACGTTATTAAAACTGCAAAAGTTGTGTAGTTGAACGCTAAACTATAAATGATGACAATATAAAAGACGAACAAAATCCGCCAATTGCTCGTGTGGACTACTTGCCAAAAATGAACGAAGAAATCTACCGTAACCTTACATTTATGATTAGATAACTACGAGAAAGTATGTAAATACTGCTGGAACGAAAGATTTGCTTATACGTTCTCCGAAGACTCAATACATGTGACATTTCATCGGAGGAACAAAAAAAAATTACAATTCTCCAGTCCAAAGGTGGACTGACGGTAGCTGAAGATTGTTGTCAAACAGCTTGGTTTCGAAAAGCGTAACCCTGGGATGAGGGATTTTGGATCACAATCAGCAACAGAGATATCTTTTTGATAGCGATGAGAGTAGGGGTCTTCATAGGAGAGGAAATTAGCCCCTTGGTGGAAACTTGGGAGGGTCAGGTGGTGATGGAGGGGGTCGGGAAATTAGTATTTCGTGCAATTGCTATACTACGGTGGAACGCCACTCGGATGGTGTTTTTTCACTTGGACNAGGAGTGAAATTATCCATTTTGGGTAGTTTGGAGATGTGAAGGGGTGATGGAGGGGGTCGGGAAATTAGTATTTCGTGCAATTGCTATACTACGGTGGAACGCCACTCGGATGGTGTTTTTTCACTTGGACAAATGTGCGCGGTTCACTCACGGCAGCACTCCTCTTTCTCCTATTTTGTGAATATCATCAGCTCGTCTAGGCCTAATCAAAAGTCAGTTTAAAGTAGCCACTGATTGTGCAACAGTATTGTGCAGCAGCAAGTTGTGCAATAGATTAATTCACCAACCTTTAGCCTGTTTTGAATTCAACTTGATGAATCAATGGGTGTGTCGTCACGTTCACAGTTGCTACTATTCGAAAAATGTTTTTTTCAAACCCACTCACAGAAGAATTTCTGTTTTGCTCCAAATTGCAGATTGGAGACAACCACCAAAACTACAGATGTCCTAGAAAAAGTCTCGCAGTTTTTTGAATCAGGCAGCCATTTGA